CTTAAGTAGTTATGTAGTAACTTACACTTCTAGCACCTACATTCTTAAAACTGTTAAGAAAGCTCTCTTACTAAAGTACTAGAGGTCTAATCTTAGAAGAGGAACTATTCTTCTTCTTTTTAAATGTTTATAATGTATCCCTAGATTTAAGTCTTTTCTTTATATTCTTTAAGAATTACAAGGTCCTATAATACTATATTAAGGCTACTAAAATTTTAAATAACTACTTTTTAATACACTTTAGAGCAGTTGTTTAAAGAGTAGTTTTCTCTACATTACTAGTAAAGTCTGTTATTTAGTCTTTCTTATATTTTCTTATCTGTAAGGCTATATTTAGCAGTAATAGCTTTTATTATTATAGTAGTATTTTTATTCTCCCTCTTCTAAAAGTCTAGGTAATTTTAGTAGAAATGTCCTACTTTTTTATAGTTTAAGTAGGCCTTGTTCTCTAGCTATTTTTATTATTCTTTTATTAAAGGCAGCCTATTACGTCCTAGAACTTAGCTCTTCTTAAAGGGGGGGCTTTATATATACTTTACATAACTAAGGTTTATTAGCTTTTTATTATATTATAAAAGCTTTTTTTTTTTAGAGATAAATTCTAGCTTTTAAAAAGTTCTCTTTAATTTCTTTTCTTTTTTATGTTCTTTATAATAGTTGTTATAAGTTATTACTTTTTTAATATAGTCTTTAAAAGTAGTTAGTTAGTCTATGTGCATAAACTTATCTTTTACTTTGTTATTTAGTCTGTTATAAAACATGTAGTATAAGGCTTTCTAGTTGTTCTATCTACAGATAGCTATTTGCTCCCTAAAACGCGCTGCATAGTTCTAGACTAGTCTGCTGCTCTGCCTTATATTGTCTAGTTAGTTAGCTGTAATTTTTTTTTATCTAGGGTCTTATAAATAGCTAATAAAGCTGCTTTAAAATTTTTAACACTACTAAATACTTTTTTTGTTTTAGAATTAAGTAGGGCGCTATTAGCTCTAAAGTCTATTTAGTTATTAGTGTAGAGTTAAAACTAAATTACAGAAAGGCCTTCTAAGTATAATTTTATTTAGAAAATTATTTCTGCGTTAGTTTAAAATGCTCTCTTATTATACTATATATAAAGGTGGCATTAAGTAAAGAATAGTTAAAGGTCTTTTAATAATTCTTTAAAAAGCTTTAAAAAGGCTAGTCTTAAAGCCTTTTTAGCTATAACACTTACTTTATTTATTAAGATGTTTTAAACTTTTACTAGTTCTACTTATAATTTATGTATCTAATAGGCTTAGGTAGTAGCTTTATAAAGGTTAATAAAAGGTAAAGGGTTTTATAAATTTATAGTTTTTTTTTTATAAAAGTTAGCTATTTCTTACTTAAGTTTTAATAATTTACTAACTTTATTACTAATCTGCTAGAGTTTTTTAATGTTGTCCTAGATAGAGTTAATCTATTCTACTAAAATAGCTTTACTTTAGGTAGAAACTTCTATAGATCTAGATAGCATAGCGTAGGCTATATTAAAATCTAAATTATGTTAAGAAGTTACTATACTTTTTAAAAAAGGTAGTGTTTAATGTTATAATCTTTACTTTAAAAAGCACTTAGGTCTTATAATGTTCCTAAAGGGAAGTAGAACAGGTAGTAGGGGCTAATCTAGTAGAGTGTACAGTTCTATGTACAGGCTATTAGGCTAATAGAGGGAGGGAGAGTAACTAGATTATAGTTTGCCCTATATGCAGTAGTAGAAAGGCTAGGGTTAAACAGTCTTATTAGACAGAGTTAGAGGTATATATAGTGTAAGATATATAAATAGTATTATAGCTTTTTAAAAAGCTAAATGCTACTTAGTCTATGTAAAAAATAAACTAAATGTTAAACACACTTTTTAAAGGTTATTTAATGTAGGAACTATATATATATGTAGGGGACACTAAGGTGAGCTAGATAAGCCTATATAAGCTTACTAAGCAGGGCTTACTAAGCTCTCTTAGACTTGTAGAATTCGCGTCCTATCCTCCTATTAGACAACGCATTCTTCCATGATCTCGGGTAGCCGTGCTACCTCCGCGTCCTCCGCTTGGTCCGTAAGCAAGTCCCGCTCCAACCGTACCATATTGTGGAGCATCCTGGGTGGAGTTACGCTGGTCCAACCGTAGACTGTAACATATAGTTATTATTTTTTTTATACTTTTTAAAATTATATAATTTTATTTACTAAAAGTTTTTCTTTAGCAGTTTCTCTTTAAAGTAGAAGTTTATATAAGTTATAATGTAGTATAGATTATGCAGGTAGTATTAGTAGTGTATACACTACTGTAGGCAGTAGTGTGTACAATTAAGGGTGTGGAGCAGGCGTTAGGTAGAGTAGCATGTATTATTTATACAGTAATTAGTGTAGTGCTAGCTAAAGTGTAAAAGTAAATAATACTAGTACATTTAGTATTATTAACAGCATTATGTTTAGTCTACTTCTATGTAAAGCCTTATATAGTAATAAAGGTTATATATAAAGCTTTTCTAGTATAATTACTTTTTTTTATGCTATATTATACAGCTTCTAGGCTTAGGTACCTTTAGTGCTTAGCTATAGTGTAATTTCTTTATTTTTTAGTACTTATATAAGCTTTTTTTTAAACATGCAGCTAAGTGCTAAAAAGTTTTATAGTATTTATCTTTTAAAATTTTTTATATATAAACTTAAAAAAGTAGCGCCTTTTTAAGTTATTATATATAGATTAGTAATTATATAACTTATATATAATTAAGTCTATAAGCTTATTAAAGCTTTTAATAT